GGCACAGCAGCAGAGCCCTTTATAAAAGTCATCACAATGACCTCAACAGGCATATGTATGTGCTGGCTGCTCCCGAACCCTGTGGCAAGGGACAGCAATGTGACCACATCAAAATGGGCACACAGCAGTGTATTTAATGCTCTCACACAGCAAGACTGCTCACTGGTTACAGCTTTACCTGGTAATGTTCATAGAAGTGCGCTAAATCTAAAAACATTGATTTCAGTCCACGGAATACATATTGTTTCCTTGATGTTTCATTTTTTTAGAGTATTAGTTTTCCCTTGGTTTTGTGTATGTATTGATATTCACGCTGTGGTGGATGGTTACTTTGGAGACATTATGCAGGAACACTTTGTTTAGGAAGCACGGAGCTTGTCCTCTGTGAAAAGGATGTCCCTATGTCACATCCCCTGCGTGAGCAGTACAGCATGATGGCCTAGTGGATAGATGGGGCTGGCTGTGACATTGATGGTTGCTTTAGGATTAATACTTCTCACATAAATAATGCATGTTTTTACAAAAGCACAAGAGCCATGTTAGCATACTTCTAATTTCATCCCAAACACTGACAACCACCAGCATAGCAGGACTATTTTACTATTTTACATCGTAATGCAGGATGGCTTATCAAGAAGGAACTGCCATCATGATTCACTCAGTAGAGAAGAGATTAGAATTGACTGGCTCTAATCTTGGCACAAGTCACATCCTTTTGCTTATCTGGTTTCTTCATAATTCACCTTGAAGTATTTGCCACTGAGAGATGTCTGGAGCTTTTGTACCTGTCAGTCATGGAAGGTTTGGATGGGGTGCTGGATATCACTTAAAAATGAAGGTGTCAATCAAACCGACCACACAGAATTCCAGACTTGTTTGTTCCATGTGGCTTATGAGGATCACAGTGCTCTCAGGAACATCCCTGGAGACCAGCTCTGCAACATGACTTGGACAGCAGTGGGAGGTATCTGCTCTGGAATGGCCCTAGAAGCTGGTTTGTTTTGGTGTTACGTGAAAAGCTTTCACGATGAAGTCAAGAACACAAATATATACATATATGTAGATAGGCATTATTTTATGTACATAATATTTATTCTATAACATATATGCTCCACATCATACATTTATAGTGGTTTTTAGGGCTATATATGTACAAGGGCAATGAAGCTGGTGAAGGGTCTAGAAAATGTCCTATGATGAGAAGTTGAGGAGAATTATTTTTATTAGCAGTTTTTATTCTGCTAAATTAAGTATAGGCAAAGAAAAGACATGCAGACACAGAAGTTAAGCACAGTATTTTGAAGGAAAAGAGAAATATATGCAAAGGCTGGCAGGACTTCCCACAAAAAAAAAGGTGTTAAAAGAGAAATTCAAGGAAAAAAAGGTGAAAAATGTGTTGCCTTCTGATACAAGGCAGGCGGCCTGGTTTCAGGAAACAGCACGGCGACCCCCTTCCCCGGGATCGCTCGGGCCTAAGAAACACGCGGACACCAATATGGTGGAGGATCAAAGGCCTTTATTCTCTCTTCCCGTGGGGTTTTATAGTCTAGGGGGCT